ACTCTTTCCAGTGTTGGATCTTGGGTTCATCTATTTAATACTGCTCCTAATCAGCATGGTTTAAGAGTTGGGATAACACTCCATCTTTGCAAAGCATCTTAAATCTTCATCACCTAAAGATATCATTATTGCAGTCAGGGAGACACATACTTAACAGTGTCACAGTAAAATCTAAATGAAACAGCATGTCCACATTTTAACTCTGCTTTGAGATGTTCTGTTTAATACATACTGTTTCGTCATATCACAATAAATAATGAACGAGAAAACTATTTTAATCTTGTAAATAACAGCAATGTCTAAAAACAAGGAAAGTGTGTGCGTGCATTTATGTGGATTCCTTATTTGATTTAGGCTAAGTGATACAGCTGTAACATGATTTGAAATATGCAATCAATGTAAACGAAGAAAAATATTTTGAATGCAGTGTATAAACTGTGTGGATCTGTAGAGATATTTTTAGGAAAAGAGACAAAGATAATGATTGTCACACCATATAACAATAATACTACTGGAAATATATACAGCCGTTCTATTTTTCTTTTTTTGCTGCAGTAAAGATGATCTTCAGCCTTGGTCATTTAAATTGGGGAGCATCTCATCTCTTCTATGTAGTTGATTCTTCATGACATAACAAGAAATGAGGGGAGGAAGAAGGCGGCCTGAAATGTTAGTTCAGCATTGTATCCAAAAGGTTTAAAGTGAATTCAGAAAGCTGCTTCCCTGTTTTTAGTGATAAATATGTATTTACTAAACAGAAAAACCTTTCTTAAAAAACTCTTCAAAATCAGTTGACTAATGGAGATAAAATTTGTTAAAGCTCTAACAGAGCTGTACTGGCCTTGAGTTAGAGAAGCCTTAGGTTGCACTGTAAGTCCCTGTACTGTCTGTTTTGCAGATTGCATTATATCGTATTGCTTTCTTACTCATGGATCCTGCAGTTGCACTAGTCAGAGAACCAAGTCAGAATTTAGGCCAGTAGTTTCCTTTTTTTGTCTAAGAATAGAATTGGCAATGAAATATTTCTCTTCCATCTCTTTATGTACAACCCAAAATAGCTGTAGTAGACTTGTCCATGGCCTAAAGCATTTTCAGGGCTTCTTTGGTTGTTTCCTGTGTTGTTCCTTTCAGTGGATGATTATGAAAAGCGCATGATGCACTTTTTTCAAAGTTCCCCAGGGTAGTTTTGTGTCTGTCTCTGGTAAAGTAACACTGGAATACAGTGAATCTGCCGGTGAAGGATTATTTCGTCATCCTTGTTTTGGTGGCATGGGGATTTATTACAGAGGCTCTTACATCATCTTTGTTAGCCTAAGGAGTATGACTGGTTAAGGGAGGGAGGAGAGGGTCCTATTGCAACTGTATATGCTGTTAGATATCACCATTACAATTCATTGCTGTCTTTTAGCTTCTTATCCATATTGCTATACTGTAACCTTTAACATATTCAGGTGCACTAAGAAGTGCTTTCTTGTGTGTGACTCTAAAAGAAAGGCCTCCCAGTAAGCAGAGGAATAATAATTAAAAAAAAAATCTTGGCCTAATTCTTGAAAGATAGACAAGCACAAGAGGAAAGTATTTTTGTCTTTTAAGGTTAATTTTATCTGTTGTGAGGCCACCAGGTCAATGAGTAGAAGTGGTGACAGGTAATCCTTGGGTTATGTTACTAGCCACTGAATTACTCTGACTTTAGTAATGAAACATAAATGTTCTCTCTGTTCCCCAGTGGGCATAATACCATTTACCTGTCTCAAAAATGCTTTGTAATTTAATTAACACTTGGAGTGCTCTTTGAGATCCTTAGATAAAAGCAGGTAAAATGAATGAGTTGTTATAGAAATCCCAATTTATCCCCATTAAAAAAAATTACCCTTTGTCTTGACTTCTGCAAACCTCAAATGGTGCTTGAGACGAGTTTTGGACTTTGTTCTTACTGGTCCTTAGAGTCACTTACTCTTAGCGATTTCTATAGGCACAGTGTAGGTATTACAGTTGTGTTAAACTGAGTATTTTGGTGGGCCATAAATTGCCAGTGTCACTGCTGGTAATCCGTTTCTCACAGAAGCATGTATTTTCAAAGGGCAGTTTGAGTCACGCGGAAAAGTTCAGCTTATTCTTCGGGAGGTACTTCTT